CTTCTTCTTCCCCACACACGTGTCTCTCCGAAGGCCTGAGCACTCATCTGTCTCTTTCATCTTAATAAAACTCTTGTTAGTGGATTCTGTCATGTTTCGTGACATTTCCTCGCAGGGTAAGAGCGCCGCTAAATAACAACCACCACCTGGCTTAGGTTTTTTTTTAATCTATTAGTCATTGGGTGTTAGTTTCCACTCAGCGGTGGGCAAGAAATGGCTCTTCAAGAGTCTGAGGCTAGTCCAATTTGAGATAATTAGCCTCTGGACCTGCATCATCCCAACCTCTGCACATCACTGTAGTTTTAACCAATCAGTCTTTGTAGACACTGCTTCTTTCCAGAAATTCTTGATGACACCCAAAGCTCTGTGTAGATCACGCTGGCCTCAAACTCACAGAGATGCACCTGTCTCTGCCTCCCAAATGCTGGGATTAGAGGGATTAAGGGCCATCATGAAAAACACAATCTGACTGTATCATTCCCTGACTAAACCCATTCAATGCTGTTTCACTGACTTGAGTTCAGGTCTTACATCCTTAACCTGGTCTCCAAGGCCCTGTGAGGGTGGCCCCACCTCTCCAGCCCCACTGCTCACTGTTCACTCCGCACTTCACTCCATGGACTCCAGTTCCAGTCCTGCCCTGCTTCCACCTGCAAACAGCCTGGGGTTTGCTGAGCCCTGACCTGAAGGCTCCTGCCTCCGGGTCCACCCTAGTTAGTTCCACTTCACACTCAGACCGCAGCCTCTTGGGGAAGGTTTAAAACCTTCCTTTTAGACTCCAACCTCCTCTTGAGCACCTCACTCCAAAGTGTAGCTTCCCGTGGAGCCCTGGCGTGGTCACACCTCTGCATTTATAGGTGATTATTTGGGTGGTGTCTGCCCCTGTAGGACATAAGATCCCAAGGGCCAGGGCCCTGGGTGCAGGCACTCAGCTCTGCCCTCCCCTGAGTCTAGCAATGGACACTCCACAGACACTGTTTGCATAAATGTGTGCATGCCAGGGTCTGGGGCAGGAGGGTCTAGATGTTCCAGGGTTTCAGATGGGATGGACAGGACAAAGGTCACCATTCTTCCTCCATGACTCTCACAGATACAGTGGTTTTCCAAAAGCACCGAGTGTACATTTCCCTTCTCTGTGTTTTGAGGGGACAGTTTATGTTATGGGACATTCTCAACACCTTCAGATGATCATCAGGGAACATTTTCCTCCATTCTGTTTGTGCTGCTGGATCAACAATGCCCCAGGAAAGCAGACATGGTGGTGTGCACCTGTATCCTCTTTTACTTGATTTTTGTTTGTGTTTTGGAGAGAGTTTCACACTGTAGCCCAGGTTGGACTTGAACCCAGTATGTAGCCCAGGTTGGCATAGAACTCCATGCAATCCTTCTGCCTTAACTTCCTGAGAGCTGGCATGGCAGGATCAGCCACCATATCACCTTCATTTTTTTTTTTTTTTTGTCAGATTCACCAAGTTACCTACCTTGTCCAGGAACTCACATAGTGGAGCAGATTGGGTCAAACTAATGATCCTCCTGCCTCATGCAGGAAATAGCACTTTATCATACAACATGAGAGGGGATGTATATTTTCTGTCTGTGTGTACCAATATTGGCACATGGATGCATGTTGGTTTGGAAGTACCCATAGTTGAATGTCTTCCTGCATTGTCTCAACCTTAGCTTTTTTACTTATAACAGGGTCTCACTATGTACCCTGGCTGGACTTGAATTCACAGAGATCTACCTGGCTCTGCCTTCCAAATAGTGGGGTTAAAGCCTGCCCACCATGCCCAGTTCAACCTGGATGTTTTTAAGCTTTCTTTTATTACAAGACTTATTTATTGGGGTTGGGGATTTAGCCCAGTGGTAGAGAGCTTGCCTAGCAAGTGCAAGGCCCTGGGTTCGGTCCTCAGCCCCGGGGGGTGGTGGTGGTGGCGGGGTGCAGGGGTGACAAAGATGTTTTTATTTATTTATTTGTTTTTTTATTTATATTTATCTGCCTGCATTTTGTCTTCATGCCAGAAGAGGGCATCAGACCTCATTATAGATGGCTGTGAGCCATCATGTGATGTTGGGAATTGAACTTAGGACCTCTTGAAAGAGCAGCCAGTGCTCTAAACCTCTGAACTGTTTCTCCAGCCTAACCTGAGAGTATTTAAATATTTCATTTTTATGTTTAATTGCATGCGTGTGTCTGAGTGTGGGTTTGTGCATGTAGTACAGTGTCAAGGAGGATGTTGGGTCCCCTGGAATTGAGTGACAGGCAACTGTGAACTGTCCTTTGTAAATGCCAGAAGCAAACTCAGGTCCTCTCTCTGCAAGAGTAGCATGCACAATCAGCCATGGAGCCTTCACTGGGAACTGAGTATTCAAATGACCAAGACGTGGGGTCATCTCACTCAAACGACCACAGTGACTAACACACACAGTGACACCCAAGCTCTCAGTGCAGTCTGGGATCTTGCAGGCAGCAGCTGGCTGACACTCCTGCAGCTGGGACCTGCACAAGAAGGTGGGGTTCTCCAGAGCAACCCAAGGCAGGGCTGCTATATGTGAGGCCAGGAAACGCCTTTTTTAATGTCAGGGTGGCTGGCTCTCCTGTGAGCCAAGTCCAGGAATGTAGGGAACCTTCAAGAGGAAAAGTCCAAACCCACTCGTCTCCAAGGGGACCATCGAGATGGCTCAGGGGGTAAAAGGGGGCTTGTCCCCAAGCTTCATGACCTGAGCTCGATCCAGGGAAGCCACATGAAGGGAAAAAACAACTCCCAGAAGTTATGCTCTGAGCCTCACACAGGCATCATGACACACCCATGCCCTCACAGAAATAGAAAATCAATGTAACGAAAATCAAGAGGAAACAAGATTTCATGTTGAAGAACACAGAAACACAAGTGCATACATTGTGTCCAGTTTTCCTCCAGACTTCCCGTAGGTGAACTTGCCTGTGTCCAAAACCCACACTGTGAGGAGAAACCGTCAGAAGGATTTAAGGTCAGTCATACAAAGAAATTTTAAACTATTTATGTATTTATAGCATTACTGTATGTATATAGTGTGGGAATGAGGGCACACCCCAGTTAAGGTGCATGTGTGGGTCAGAAGACAACCCGTAGTTGCCAGGATACAACCGAGTCTGCAAGCTGTACTGGGTACACAAGATTAATGTCTAAGACCTATTTGCTATCAAGATCTCATGCTTCCTTGACGACTAAGGGGACATATAGAGGAACAGAGAGTGGCCTGAATGTTTAACTGCCTGAAAGAGTGCATCTGTCTCTCAGGAACTGGAAGGCACGTTGTGCTCCAGGAGCCATGGACTACAACCTGCTAAGACGTATGATGCATGCCTCTCAAGGCAGCTAGGCCACCAGGCCAACTCCATGGTTCCACATCACATGCCATGTTTTCTCAGCCTTTTCTGGGTCTGTATATTAGTCAGGGTTCTTTATGGTAACAGAACTTATAGAATGAATATGTATATATGAAATAAAGACAGATACATATAAAAAGGGGGTGAATTAGAATGACTTACAGGCTGTGGTCCAACTGGTTATTAATAGAAAGTCCTGGAATCCAGTAATTGCTCAGTTCATGAGGTTGGATGTCTCAGCTGGTCTTCTGTACATGCTGGAATCCTGAAGACGTAGCTCTAATACCAGTGAAGGAACGGACTTGTTGCCAAGGCAAGAGAAAGCAGGCCAAGAGCAAGAGCTTCCTTCTTCCAGGTCCTTACACAGGCTTCCAGCAGAAGGCATGGCCCATCATAGAGCTTAAATTTCTGTATTAAAAGTGTATCTTCATGCTGCAAAGATCTGGATCAGAAGTTGAATTTCCCACTTTAAATTAAGTAAAAATCCCTCACAGATGAGCCCTCCATTTGGGGGTTTCGTTAATTCCAGATGGAGTCAAGTTGACCTCCAAGAACAGCCATCACAAGTCCATCCCTCACCAACCTGACACACAATCATATCTCCTTATGTTGTGATTAATTCCCAAATGAAATTAATAACCAAGTCATAATAATGTCTAAACATGATATAATTATTCCATATACAATCACAAATGCACTATATATTTAACCTGGTAATAATTACATCTAACATGGTGTAACTATCCCTCACACAACCAAAAGTGCACTACAAATGTAGAATATGTAACAATGTCCCTTGACAAACATTCTTTTAGTATTTCAAACTTAAATATGATAACCATTGATAATTCTCTTAATTGATGTTACATCATATGATAAAAGAAACTGAGGAAAGAAAACACGAATATCTGTACAAAAACATTAACAAAAATGATAGAAACATTCATGTCAATTATGATCAGCATTTCCGCAACGAGTGACATTGCCTTAGCTGGTATTTATAACTACCTTCCTCTACTACCCATTCTGTGTTTCCTTCTGCTTGGCAAGCACCTCAGCAGGTCTTCGCTCTTTTCCTGGAGAAGTGACCATATCTGCATTCCTGAGGGCCTGTGCCCTTTGTCATCCTGCCTGGATTAGACTGTTGTAATTTCCCATTGACTTCAGTCATAGGGCACAGTAGCT